TTTATTCATTATTCGAAAGTGCTTGAATAAAGAATAAAAATTTATTCGTTATTTGAAAGTGCTTGAAAGAAGAATAAAAATTTATTCGTTATTTGAAAGTGCCTGAATGATGAATAAAAATTTATTCATCATTCGAAAGTGCTAGAATGAAGAATAAAAATTTATTCATTATTCTAAAGTGCTTGAATGGAGAATAAAAATTTTTTCGTTATTCTAAAGTGCTTGAATGAAGAATAAAAATTTATTCATCATTCGAAAATGTTTGAATAAAGAATAAAACTTTATTCATTATTCTAAAGTGCTTGAATAAAGAATAAAAATTTATTCGTCATTCAAAATTTTTGAAATGATGAATGAAAATTTATTCTTATTTTTTTTTTTATTCAATTATTCATTTTCTTGATTTCGCCCATCCCTGGTTCAAACAAAGACAGTTGCTTACGTGGTGCCAACATCCTATAAGACGAAAACTCGGTCGAACAGAGAGCATTTCTTATAGTGCCTTCTCACTTCACTATGTATAACCAAACTTGCACAGTTCTGTTGTCGGGGCTTGGTGGCATTGAGGTTGAGCTTCAAGGCCAAAAATAGATGGAAATGCTTCATTTTTGCCTCCGCGTACTTTCCATATGTCTCTTTGTTGAAATGCATAAAATGTCTGATTTTGTTTATTCATAGAAAAAAACTTTTAATATCAATTGAATCGATCTCAAAAGTATTTACATATTTTACAAAAGTTTTTTGTGCAATACGTTATTGCTTTATTTAAATACCCGAATTTCTTTTATTTAACCTTAAAGATTGCTGTGAATGGTTAACCAATACTGTAAACAATATTATGTTTAGTTTTAAGTTTTACTGCTAATTTGTGTAGCTAAAAAACCAAATTCAAGAAATCTCGTTTTAATGATGAAAAAATTTGTCAGTTTGGAACATGAACGAAAGACACAAGATCACGCGGGAAGGAAAGAACGATAAAAGTTATTTTCTAGCTGCCGAAATCTCGACGCCATCTTTGTTGTAAGAAGTAAACAACGAAGGGAACGGAAAAGACCGTGAAATTGCTGAACGCATGAATAATCATTTTTATTATGAAAATTCTTCTATAAGTCATGTCGTTGTGTTAAATTATTCTTTATCTTATGTGTACACACGTTGTCACAGGCGAAAACGAAGAAAATTGCAGTAAAAAGCCACCACCAAATTGTAAACAACGAAGAAATGTAAACAAACGGCTAATGTCAAAATCGTTAAACTTTTTTCCTCAATGCGATTCTAACGGGCTACTCTCCTGCCCGCGTGATCTTGTCTTTTTGGTTCATGAGTTTGGAATCCGATATGGTAGGTGTTTTGGTACGTAAAAAGTTAAAGTGGCAACACTGTCCACAAACTCTGAAATTTCTCAAAACAGCCGCCAGTTTTCGTAACTAGGCAGCACTGATGATGGGCAGTAGCGCAAATCGGTTCGAACGCCAAACAAAAAAGAAGCACCGATAAAGCTGAGTCCAAAAGTAATTAAAGGAACAAAAAGGCAAATCGTTTAATTTCAGCAGCATTTATTTTAACGCAATCTTATATGTAAAATTAA